ATCTGGAGATCTAATTTCTGCAGCCATAAGGCTAATTAAATTTCAGTGTACACTGAAATGTAGAAATGGAAAGAACTCTGTTTTACAAAACTTGCAGTTAATGTTCAGAAACTCTGCCCCTAATCTGGCAAAGTTAATGCTACTTTGAAAAGGTACCTAGAAGTTCCAAACCATAAAGAAATCTAAAACTTAAAATGCTGGGAAAAGGCAGAACAAATTCAGGACAAAAAAATGTACGCTGTGCCAAGATATCGGACAGAGTTCAATACTTCAGGGTAAAGATCTTCATTTCCTTTTTTTCTTTACGCTGTCCTGTCTGGCAATGTGGCAAAAAGAATAATTGCCACATTGCCAGACAGTGTCCTGTCTGGCAATGTGGCAATAAGAATAATTGTCTTGATGCCAAAAAGAGCCCAACAGATTTTACTTTCACAAGTGTAGCAGTATGGCAATTGCCATATTTCTCCACTTGTTTCATGCATATAAATTGCTTTATTATAATTATGCAGGGAGTTTTACAGTTTATATGGACACTGCAATGTAAATAGAGCAGAAAAACAGAAGCAGAAAAGGGAAAAAAGAGAGAAATTCATTTCCTTTTTTTGTGGTAGACTTTTTGTGCAGAACAGCAACACACAGTGATGACATTAGGCTGTTTATTATCTAAAAGAAAATGGCATTATTAATCTACTTCTATTTTTATCGTTTAAGGACTTAATGGGTGTTGTGAGTCAGAATACATGGATCAGCTGCAGTCAGTGGCCTCCATGCTTGTTTCTTTAACTAAGATGAGACATAGAATTAAACAAATATATTTCAATCCATCATATAGAACCTTCTCTGCACTCGCTTATTTGTTCAACAGGGATGCGAACAGTAATATTAGCATCCATGTATTGAATTGTATTAAGTCCTTAAAAGATAGCTGCACATGGGTGTAAACATGTTTGCAGTGGTAGGGGTCTTGTGTAACATGTATATTATATATAATGCTTAATATTTCTAGGTGTTAAACTCGTATTTTACCGGCTTGTCTGAGATAAACGTATTTGTTGATTTCATTTCTTCAAAGTAAAGCTGTGTGTTTTATAAGATGGTTATTGATCATTTTTTCAGTTTGTATGGCTGATGTGGTCTGTTAGTTTTATATGTATACATATATAATTTTTTTTTCCACAGCTGCACTGCTGTAACCCTGTTTTTTACTTTTTTTTTGTGGGTTAAAAAAACATTGTACTTAAGGGGATTGGCAAAGTATTGATATTCATGCTTATGTAATGAATTCTTTATGCTCTGACAGAGGGAACACCATTTGCCGGAGGCATTTTCCGAATGCGACTGGTCCTCGGGAAGGACTTCCCTGCTGTTCCACCCAAGGGGTATTTCCTGACCAAGATTTTTCACCCAAACGTGGGTCACAAGGGGGAGATCTGTGTCAATGTGCTGAAGAGGGACTGGAAGGCAGAACTTGGCCTCAGACATGTCTTACTTGTAAGATTTACCTTTTAAGTTTTGTGTCTTGAATCTACTCAGTGTGATCTAAATTATTCTTAAACTGTTTTATTTGCCTCTTTTCTTTCCCCCAAAAGACCATCAAGTGTCTCCTCATCCATCCAAACCCTGAATCAGCTCTAAATGAGGAGGCCGGGCGCTTGCTTTTAGAGGATTATGCTGAGTACGAGTCTCGCGCCCGTCTGCTTACAGAAATCCACGCTATGGGTGGGCTGGGCGGGACCTCCGGTGCACCTCAGGACCCTAACGACGGCCCACAGCCAAAGAAGCACGCAGGTGACCCTACGAAAAGAGCGGGGCCCAGTGTGGCAGCTGTACCAGCAGCTCTGGGTAACGGAGCTAATGGCGCCAGTACCACCAGCAGCAACAGTAGTAGTAACATCAATAATGTAGCAGGGAAAAAGAAAGCAGATAAAAAGCGTGCGCTGAGACGACTTTAATACCTCAACAACATTTGTGTGTATGAGCGTGAGTGAGTGTAAATAAAAGTATTGAATTGTGTCGACAGAATTGTTAGTTCTTTTGCTCTGGCTCTTTCTAGACTGTCCCTGATGTACCTCTGTTTTGCCTCCAGTTTGCTTTATCCTAATGGCACTACAGGTTTGTTAATTGTTTCCATACCGAAGACACTATGAAAAGCATCTAAACAGATTTTTTGCAGCAGAATCATGCCGATCATCTATGTTCTTCCTTTGAGCCAGTCTGAATGAACATCACTTAAATATGGAATTTTGATGTCTATTAATGATACACGGTTCCTATTGTTTTGGACTTTAATCAGGTATTTTTCAAGTGTTTCTTGCTGCTGTGGTGGTACTGTGTACTGCACTGCATGCCTTGCTCTTGAGTCTGAACTAGGAGAGACTTTTCAAACTGCTCAAAGGACTTTTATGAAAAATTTGCTAAAACTGTTGCGATGAAGTAACTTTTGTAAGTTGTAATTTTCATATCATGGTCCAAATGTGGTGAAGGTATGGAAGAATTAACATTGGATTATAGGAAGTCTGTTGTTTCTTTAGTTTTTGAATAAAATATTTTCACTGTCCGGTGTTTTCCAATCTTTAAAAATATCCATATTTGGATGTATGTGTGAAAATCTAGAGAAATCACTTTGAAGAAAGTTGGGTAAGGTTGTTTGGTTTTATTAAGCATTTAAAGTTTAAAAATAAATTTGCTTTATCTTACATTCAGTTCTGACTAGTTCTGACGACCCATGCTTCCCCATGAGCATTATCTGCACTTGTCTAGCAATGCACTGCAGTATGCGTCCATATTTGCTTCAAGTTTCTTCCTCAATAAAAACACTGGCAGTGTTTCTTAGAACTTATTTTCCTGAGAGATTATATCGAGTCCTATCTGCTGTTTTTGTTTTATTGTAGAACTAATGCTGAGAAATGTTTTTTCTTCTTTGAAACGGGCAACATTTACCAATGTTTTAGAAATTGTTTGTTTTTTTGCAGTACGTTTTTATTCAGGATGCATTGTTCAGCAACGGTACTGCTTAGTTTGCAGACGTATCTTAAACTGCATGGATTTTGTGCCTCCCCACAATTGGCCCTTTAGATTTAAATTAAATTTAAACTTTTGGTCTCAAAAGAGTTTTAGACCACTTGGCAGCATTACAGTTCTAGATCTTCTAGGCTCGGGTAAGATCCTCCAAGCCCATGTATTGGACTGATCTGCTGATCTGATCCGATTCTGGCCTTATCCATCATCTTATGAAGATCCCCTTCAAAATGTTCCTGCTCCTAATCCACCTTTTCCTTCCACTTAACTTTCTGTCAGTAAGCTTGAATATAGCAGTTTGTGAGCAACCTGCGTTGTTAGCAATTACATTTATTTTGCAGCCAACCCTCCTTGGACGCGTAGCTGACAGGGTTCTGTACATTGTCAAGAGAGAAGTGCTCCTCATGATATTGAAGACCCAGACTGCAAGACCATTTAGAACCTCTGGAAACCACCAAAGGTGTTTTGAGGTGATTAGTTGATAAGGGTGTGACACTTTAAGTTGCTAATATTTAACCCCCAAATATTAACCCAACATCTTAATTTGAATCAGGGATTTTCATTGAGTCATAATCATGAAAATTGCAAGGAAAAAAAGATGAACTGTTTCGATCCAGCTAATGAATGTGGTTCATTTCCTGAAATTAGTGATTTTTTTTATTTTAATATTTGCTTTTTAGAGACTTCTATAGGCCTTGAAAAATAAGGGCAGCCTTGAAGGTAAAGATGTTTCAAAAAGGCACCATCATTTGATGCCCTCTATCACATCAATAAAGAATTTACATAAATGTTAGTCATTTAATGTCTATCCATATGAATTAGGACTGTGTTTTTGTTTAGAGTGGTCTGCTCTGATAGAATAATCATTATGAGGAGAAGACTAATTGCATCCACCCCTGCAAACCAGTCAGTGCAAGTGCACCCGGCAGTGCGTCTTTGGACCATAATAACGGGCTCCACCGGCCTCTGGCGCAGACATGCAGCAGCCCACACACCTGTGTAGAAATAGCAGCCTGCCATGCAGGTAATTATCAGGCCCTTCTTAGGTACCTGGGGCTTCACCTAACCCCCCCTACACACCCCCATCACCTCTATCAGCTGGTATACATCTCTTTTCAATGTTCTACAAACCTGGAGGTCCACACCTTTTTATTTCATTTTTTTTTCTAATCAAGAGCAATACTGTAAGTTGGGTAATTCAATTGGTTCAGTACCGTGACTCACCCTGTTGGCCTGATAATTAAAATATGGAAATTATAGAATATTTCCATAAATTTTTTTATTTTTATTTTTTTTTTTTAGCATCTGATGATTTTGAATTCAACATCCTCTGCGTCTTTTTCAACCAGTCGTTGTTATTTCGAGGCTATCCCTGTGCCCATCGCTTGCTGACAGAAAGCCGAGCTGTCGGGCTGCAGCTCGGTCTAATTGACAGTTTCGTTCACGCTCCAGAGTTAAAGCTTTTGCGCCAGTCCTCTCCCCGCACCTCACCCGCTTTCATCGCTTTCATAATTGCCACCAACATAATGACACAGTTGCCGTGGCAACCGTGCCTCTCTGCGTCTCTTTTCTTCCTCTGCCGCGCGCGCACACACAAGAAAATAACACAAACACACTATCTGGATACGGAAGATTGAATCTGTACATTCTATTTTAATAGAATTGTTCTGTATATATAAAAGTTGAATTTGTTCTGCGATAAAATTATATATGATAAACTTCAAAAAAAAAAAAAAATCTGTAATTCCTAATCTGTAATCTAGGTAACTATAGGTCACTTAGTTTTATAAAAGGTGACTAAATGGGGATGAACACCAGTTGAATGGGCCTGTTCTCAGTCAGCATCAAGCAGCCAGGAGTCGGGTCTGATGGTCGATCAGTCAGACGGACCAATCACAGCGCTCCGCCACTGACGGACTTCCATGAGGCCAGGCGCAGTTAGTTAGACACACAAACCAGATCAACCAGCGTCAGTCAGTCCGTCTCCTCAAATTGCTTAAGTTAATTTTACACTTTTGCCTCTTTTTCCTGGGAAATCTATTTTGATTTGCGATGCGGGGTTAAACTAAATTGAAACATGTTTGAGAAAATCTGAGAATATCATTTTTTTTATTTATTTTCTTGCCTACCTCTGGATTATCAATACGCCCGATGAAGAAGGAAATAATCTAAGATCGGAAGTGCTTTACCAAAAAAAAAAAAAAAAAAAAAACTGAAACAGGTGGCACATCTAGCAGCAGCGGTTCAGTCTGTCCTCATCATTTTCTGCCAAGATAACAGGCTGCCATCAGAGAAGCGCTGAGATGTACAGTGCGCAGGCTCTCCACAGCATCAAACCTCAGAGCAGCGCACAGGTAAGACACGACATTATGCACCTTTTTATGCCTGCAACATCACTGAACGATTTAATAATTATTATTATTAAGAAAAACATCTGGATACTTTCACCGTCTTTGCATGTGTATGGAAATGTAAGTTTGTTATCTGCGTCTTTTTTGTCTGTCAAATAAAAACATTTAGGTAAAAGGTGCGCCACACTGTCGCATCTTTATATTCGCTTTTATCACAGAGCGTCTTATTAGTGGTTTTAGTGCATTAATAGGCAATACTGCGGCGTTATGGACATTTTAAAACCATTCATAAGACGCACACACATGCGCGGATCCACCCCCGCACTTTTATCCTGTGCTGAATACATGCAAGTCATGTCCATACAAGTTGGGACTTATTAACCTAATGAAAGATGGAGAGGTGTCTGAGGAGCGGGGTGTCCAGTTCAGTCGCCTGGTGATGCACAGGCGTTGCGCAGCACGCATTCACCAATAAAGCCTTCCTTCATCCGCGGATGTCACTGTCATTAAACGTCTCTCAGATGCACAGTGATTGCATGTGGGATGTTTTCACTCACTGACACCACAGTCATCTCTGTGAGTATAAAGAATAGAAAAGATAATAATAAAAAAAGTGGCCATTTTGTTTCATTCCCAACAAACACCTGTTGAGATTGCATGCTTTGACTCGCTCATGTTTTTTTTTTTTTTTCCTGCAGTGGATCCCAGTTTGCTTTGCTGCAGTTCAAACCTGATTTTTGTTTCTGTACTGTTGTAGCGTGGAAGTGGGGAGTGGGTTGGGTGGGGGGTCATCCTCAACAATGTGAATGTATGTGCAACCCACAACCTTTGCTTCCCAATCTAGACCTCAAGGAAGGAAGGAGTCATTTTGCTGGAAAATTAAAAACAGGAAAAGACTTGAGGTTTTACTCAAATGTAGGAGCATTAAAAAAGAAAAGCAAAAAATCTGCAGCTGCAAATCTCTTCATTATGTGCTCTGACGCAAATTGAATTGCAGAGACAATGTGGTCATGTCATATGCATCATTTGGTTATGAAGGAGATGGACAGATGTGACTTCAAGGTGAGAGTATGATTATAATTTATCTTACTAATAGGTGTAGATCTGAATTTGCATCCTTTCCCCCCACCTTCCAATCCCTCCTTCACTCACACACAGACAGAGCTGTATTGCTATTCTGAGAGAGTTAGCTGCCTCAACCCACGCACAGAATCTGAGAAAGAGAAAGGCAGAATGAGGGAGAAAGAGGGAAAGGAAGGAGCAGGAGGAATGAAATGAGAGCCGCAAGGACTCTACATTGAGGTTTGCAGAATGCAGACTGAATCCTTCATATGCAGGTTCAGATTGTATCACTTTTGAGTGTTCTAACAGGAGCTGGTGTACAGTACACCTCTTATTAGCACTCTCCTCCTTGCGTGTGGCATGGACTTGCATTAGCAGATCTGTTTGGTGGTGTTTGTGTGATGTGCTGTGTTGTATTGGTAAGTGCTGGGAGAAATGTACTTGATTCTGTGCCACCCACACACCGCCCTCCCACTCATGGTCGTCTCTGCATCTATACCTCTGGCTCTTCCCGCTCGCCACATTCTCCTTGCTCGTTTAAATCCCTACCCTGCATTTATCTCTCTGCACTCCATCACCATTTTTTTTTTTTCAGAAGATCCACTTGTTCTGCAAATCAAACAAGCACACTAATGTGCAAACCACACTCTGACACAATTTATGCAAGCAATCACATCCAAACAAGCTAAGCGCAGACAAGGGCTGAGAAAGATGTCCAGGACTCAGAGGTTATGGCCCTCTGGCCTGATATGCAGTTTAAGTAGAAAATCCACTCATGATTTCTTTTATACTTTCAAATCACAATAGATTAGTCGGTAGGAATCTTATACTTTTTCTTAAATCATATGAAAACGTCCTTACTTAAAAAAAAAATAATAATAATAATGGTATCTAATCTGGAAATATATCTTATCCATAACAAAATCTGTCCAACAATGTTATAATAATTATATGTCAGGCCTGTGTGTGGAGATTATACTAAATCACTGAAATATACCAAAAACAAATGCATGCAGCATGTCCAAATTTTTTTTGTTTTCGATTTTTGAAGCCATCAATACTCTGTTCCTTTGCCTGCTGTAAAAACTCATCTTTTTTGCGGTCTGTTTATGAAAGTTTAACACAATCCTCAGAGTTCAGAGTTTATTGGTTAGCTACTCCGTTTTAATTGATTCCAGCTACATAAACAACTAAAAAAAATGCATTTATATGTAAATGCTTATGGTGATTGGATATCCTACGTATTTAGCAGATATTAAACATCTGCACTTTCACAGAAATGTTGCTAAGCTCCAGCTTTCTTAGTAGAATAACATCATTATTACTCCATGTAATTTCTTCTGGAGAATAATGGACTTAACCTGACTCCACCAGATGGATTTGCTCCGCATGATCTGCGAGTGAAACCTTGAAAGCTCGCGAGATCAGGGTGGTCTCACGAGGCTATAATGGCCTCACATCCCCTCATGAATCCGCTGAGTCTGTTTTATACAGTTTCCTCTTTGCTCGACTTACTTTGGACTGACAAGTAGAAGCTAATGAGGCGGACATTCAACTGGCCAGAAGGCTCAACCAGTAAGCTTTTTTGCTTGGTATCAAAATGTAAGACATTTGGCTAATATCTTCCGTTGTAGTGTTGTAATAATTTAGTTGGGAGTGGTTTTAAGTCTAAACAATGAGGTAAAATTGGGCATTAACCTGACTTCCTATAAGCCAGATGATCACTAAGAGAATTTAAACAGCCATAATCAACCTTTTCAGTTTTAAAGTATCTTTACCATGGCTCAGCTTAAAAATAAGCAACAAACGTCAATCTCTTGTGAAATTTTAGAAATTGATATTTACCAATGTAATATTTCTCTATGAATGTACATGTGTATATTTTAACTTGATTTAAGTTATTAAATTTTGCTAAATTTGGATGGCCGTCCAACTGGCTGTTAGTCTCAGGCCACTCTAGGCTTTATAGAGCCAGCAGCATAAACCAAATAAGGAGTGTGCAACAGATTTTATAGTCTCTTATGAAACTGAAGATGTTTAATAACTTAACTTTGAAAGTTAGGTATTTCAATTGTTAAAGATAGGCTCTGTGTAAGCACCCTGGTGCTCTATCTTTCCGGTTCTTTTCCCTGAAAAGAAATCACTCGGCACAAACTCTTTAAATAATATTTCATAACTTATATGTATTAAATAACCAGGAGACATGACGGCAGATTTTGATAGAAATTGTAATCTTACTCAGATCAGAGAAATTGCTTAGAATATACAGAATGTCAGCTGCTCACCCCCAGGCTCACCTCACAGGAAGTGGCCCTAATTAATAGTTAAAAAGGCATTTTATACATCTCCAGTCTGCCACATCATCATATTTTACATCATGCTTCATTTTTATTAAAATAGGACACCGCTTTAATTCCATCTCTAAATCTTTGCCACATACAAAATGAAGATTATAACTGTATCTCCAGACAGAAGAACTGTCCTAATTAGATTAAAAACGCAGTTCTGACGCGCAACAGGCAGCCCATACCAGGGTGTAATAAACTCACACATCTTCAATGATAATTATCCTAACATAATGTTTTCAATTTGTGTGGTCTTATTTACTAAAATCTATAGAAACTGTGGGTCATTCTGATTATTGTTAGCCTAGCACCACATTTATGCTGTTTGTATGCAAACTAGATTTTAGCTTTTATTTCGAACTGTCATGTCTTTAAACCTTACTTGTACCTTTGGATCTGTTTGGGGTTGAGATTTTGGTACATTATACATATGTAAAACACATCACTGGAAAAACCTCTGATAAGCAAAAACTATTGAGGCCACCAAAGCCTTCTGCTCTGGTTGATTTTTTTGTAACTTTTTTTTTTCTTTCATTGTGTTACATGTTGCAGGTCTGATTGCTTCTTAACCCAAAGAGTGTTCTGGAAATCAAAGCCTCAAAAGAAGAAAACAAGAGAATCCCCTACCTGCCTTCTCAAAGAACTGTATTGGGACAATAGCTACTGGACTAACATCTGCTTTGGTCTCTTTTTATTCCTCGAATAAACCCTCCTAAAAAGGCTAGAGGACCATGTAAGTGAAAGAAGTGGAGCCCTCAGTGATTTCAGCATTCTGTCTCCTCCATCTGTGCCTACATTCTCTGCTACAGATAGGGACGTTTTGATAATTACATATAATTATAATTTCTGTGGGAGACAGATCTGCCTCTGTCTATTATTGCCAACACCTTCAGTACAATAACTTCACACATTTACATATCTCCCAACAAAAGTGATATTCTTTAAACCCCCCGGGGATAAATCAGGAATAATTCTGCTCCGATTGACATGTCACATGCAAAAGCAATTTGCCATTCATCTGATATCTAATAAGGGATACATCTGAGTGACAAGGGGGATTTTTCCCCCTTTTCCTGCCACAGAAATCTGGCTGAAAATCATGGCATTTAGGTCTTTTTGCTGCGTGTTTTACAGGCCAGGAATCATTCTTCTGCTTCATGGTTGTTCATAATTTTATTTCCACCTTCTAGCACATAAGCAGAGCCTTCCTCATTATCACCCACAGTTTGGTCACAGTAACAGCCTGTGCCAGGCGATTGCTGACCAAACCAATCCCAATGGAATTCTCCAGAATAAATTATAATAGAGAACATTGATCCAAACTGCAGGCACCCAGTTTTAGGTGACTGTTAGAAAAGCAAAAACATCCCTACATTTTTATAGCATTGTCCTAACAGTTGTTTTCCTTGTCTACAAAATAATTGTTGAATAAATAACACGGCAGTTTGCGCTACTTGCTAGAAGATGAAGAATACAGACATAACCCTTCCTGTCAACTGTTTATCCAGTGCCAGAGTCAGCCGACGAATGTCCTGGGATGTCATGTTTTGCTAATTAAATTTGTTATTAATTTTTAAAGGACCTTTGTGGCCAGAAACTGGAATTGAATCCAACAGGGTATTTTAAAAAGAAATGAGAATAAACCTATAAAGCTTTGGGGCGTCTTTTATTAAACCTGGTAAAAGCAGTTTTATCATAATTATCATTAAATATTTCAACCAAAACAGTCTCACACATAAATTGACAGAAACTCATGATGTATCTCTGATGTCCTTGGCTATACATTTAATTCTTTACATGGCCTTTTAGTGAGTTAAACTGGAAAAGGGAATAAAGCTGTGTAACTGCATTGAGTCAACAACAGAAAATAGGTGTCTTAGTCATGTAAAAATGACGCCCACCACCTATCTCCGAATCCTCGCCGTCTCCCTGCTTTCCCTGTTCGCTGCCCCACTTACCAGCGCAGTGGAGACGTCTTCGTACCCCCCTCCTCAGCATGTAGACCGCTCAGGGAGACCATTCACTGAGCAGCCAGACACAGATTCCAGCTCCTCCCTCTTGCTCCTTGCCATCCAGGCCAATGCCAGGCCGGCTGCTCTCCGAAGCAGACCCAAAGCACCTGAGGAACCTCAAGACACCTCAGAGGTAGTTCTGGAGCCCCTTCCAAAACCACTGGCCCAAGTGATGTTTCCTAAGAATGCAACCTCCTCAGAGGGCTTAGGAGATCATTTTCAAGCAGCTCACATCCCTCCTCGTATTATGGATGGATGGACAGATGTATGTTGGGGTTACTATGATGTGATGGGACACTTTGACAATGCTTTCAACTGCTCTAAAGACTCCTTCATCTACTGCTGTGGAACATGCCACTACCGCTTCTGCTGTCCAGATCGAACTCGCAGGCTGGAGCAGGACATCTGTAAAAACTACATCTCTCCAGACTGGGCCAAGCCACAGACAGATCCCATGATATTACCGGAGGAGCTGAGTCCAGACCCAGACTATGACCCACTGAAGCAGCAGAGCCACAACACGGGATTCGTCATTGGTGGCGTTATTGTGTTTATGGTGGCTGTCGCCGTGGGCATCAAGGTGGTTTTCAATAAGGTACAACAGGAGGCCAACCAAAGGGACCTGAATATGCCCAGGTAAGGCTTTCACATCCTAGCATTTCATCACTTCTAACTGTTGGATCTGTTGCTATATCCTATGCATGGTTTGTCATTAAATAAGTGTTTTCAAGACTTGATTTGAGGTGTAAAACAATGCTGTTAGTCACTGCCTAAAACACAGTAAAACTCATTACCTTGAGTAAAAGCACCAGGGCTCTATGGTATTAAGGTATCTTTTTTAGGAACATTACATTTTTGGCATAAAAAAACAAAACATTATTTAATTTTATTTACAACAGAAAGAAAGAATTATACCCAAAATTTGGTTGTAACTAAATACATTTATTCAGTCACATTTATTTGACGTAAGAAGAAGTTAACTTTCAGAAGTACTTTTACATTACCATTCTTTTTACTTTTATTTTTTTTTACTTTTTCTCAAACAATATTCCTGCGAAAGCATTGCTTCTTGTACTTGAGTAAAATTTCTGGTAAGTCTTCTTCAGTCCAAATTTGTTATTTTGTAATAATGTTATTTTTTTGTAATTTATTTTTTAAAATTCATTTGAAATATACAAACTGAATAAGTGTCTATCGCTTTAAATAACATGTTATGAGCCAACACTTCCTCATCTTTGAGGAGCCATATTAACTAATGCTTTTTTACTTTTAAAGGTATATGTTAGGGTTGTTAAGTTTCCCCAAGTTTAACCTATAAAGAAATAAACAAAGACAGTGTAAGATTTTTCCTGACCGGGCTTTGCAAAGGGACAATAGACAGAGCTTTGGGATCTCGCAATTTCGTCTTGCTCCACGCTTGCAGGCTTATTTATTGAGCACTCAGCACATTACAACAGCAGGTGTTAGTTTCGATTACACAATCTCTTAGACATAGCATGAACTTTTAAGATAGGGAACATGTCTGGTTTCAGTATACCCTGAAACCAGACATGAACTGGGGTCATGAACTTCCCTTTCTGTGCTTCTCAAATGAAAAACAGTAACTTCTGTGCTTCATTCTCGCAAAACATTTGACCGTCTTATGACTTGCATACACTATTTCCACTGATGACAGTACCATAGAAAAACAAATGATTTAAAAGCAATATAAAAGATATAAATGAATAAAATTATAAAAACAACAGAAATCATAAAACAACAGAAATCATAATAACTCCATCAGTATAGTGGAGGATTTTTGGGAATTTTTGAAAAAATGCACAACCCTGTACCCGCTCCCGAGACGGAATGTCTATTAAAAACTTGCGAGAGCGTGCACAAGCCCATTTCCCCCCGTGCACGCTCTGTTTACAAGTTGCTGTTTGCATCGCTCACTTTTCAAAAGAAGATTTGCAATTTTTCCACTATGTCAGATTCACCACCTGTAAGTGAATATGGGAATGAGCACGAAGGACGACCTTACGTAAACATATCACCGGAATGATTGACAATTAGGAGGATCACTTATTTTGATGATCCACTGGCAAAAGAAAATCCTCCACTTTACATTTAAGTAATTTGTTTCATGCTTATGTTCTATTTGCTAGTTTTGCATGAGTAAAAAACAAACTTCTGCCACTAAGATGTTATAAAATGTTTATTACTATCAGAATGTTGTGTATTACATTGATTTACATTTTTATATATTTTGTATATGAATGCAAAATCTATAGAAATGTAGCAATTAATTAGTTTATTTTTATTTCTGTTTATTTTACATTTATAGTAAACCCCAAAAAGTTCCTGCACACTCCTGCACACTATGATTTATTAACATAGCGTTTTGGTTGGTATTACCCTCATCAGACAATATTGGACAGTTCTGCTATGTCTGTCCGATACAGGTCATACTAACTGAAAAGATGCATAAATACTTTACAGAGAGTGATACAGTAAGCAGGAATGTTTTTGGAAATCTGTGGCGTTCCCCACCCCTTGGGCTACATCCTCTTCCTACGCACCTGTGCTTTTAGGGGTGCTAAGATTTTGCAATCAGATTTATAGTATAGGAAAAAATCTATATATTTTTAGATTATTGCATTTGATTCATACAATAAGATATATATGGAGTAATAATAATCATTATTTACATTTTTTTCATAATTCATGAAAAAGGGAAAATATTTCTATTTTTTATATAATAGAGTAACTATACAGCAGGGTTTTTTTTTTAATTGTCATTGAAAACATTTAAAAAAAAAATTTTTATTTTAATCTATGCTATAAAAGTGCTTAACCTCATTTAATTTGGTGCCAGTTCAATTTCATAAGATCTTTTTTCTTTTTTTAGGTTAATTGTTGAGTAACACTAGAGTTTAATTAGCTGATGTTAAGCTGGTTAATTAGTTGAGCTATTTTCTATGGTAGCCAGACAAGCATGCATTTTGTTATCAACTCCAGTTTAAAGCTTTATACCTTATAGTGCTGAATTAGTATGAAGTACAGCAGTTCATTTATGGCCAACTCCCACTCTCTCGTATTCCTCCAGAGCTCTGGTTGACATGCTGCGGCACCAGTCGAGCCCAGTCCAGCAAGATGAAAGAAATAACAGCGTGGCTCTGACTGTACCCGACGGACAGGGGACACTGGGAAGACCCCCGAAAAACCTCTACGGCCCGGGAGTGCCCAGCAAGGACAACAGATGTAAGAGTTTTTTGGGTTTTTTTCAGAGTAAGAGAGAGCTTGTTCTCTAGAGGGTGCTGGTTTGTTGGTTTTCTCTCTTTTGTGCCCCACCACTAAGAAATCTTTATGATTAGAGGGGACACAAAAATCCCAGGTGGTGTTATGTTTAGAAATGATTGCTCAAGCAACTTTTTCTGTCTTACACAGTTAAATGAACATGCATCAGGAGGATTTTATGTAAATATGTACTGCCAGTGGTGGATACGTGTGCTGACTTTTTTTGTTAAACCACCAATCATCTTCCAACTGCTTGACATCCATTTTGTGAGCTGATTACCTTATTTTTCTCTGACTTACAGTGGGCAATCTGCAGCACAATTTCATCCACTCATCAGGCTCCAGCCCCAAACACACAGCAACTATCGGTAAGGCAGCTGCTCAAATCAGGGCATGTAAATCACATGCAATCACCCCAGATTCTTCATTTGCTCCATTCACCTAGGATTTAAGCTCAGATGTAGGCCCATTCATTTAGACAATAACAATGATTATCACAGCTCCAGTTGCTCGTGTCGGTGCTGAAAGCAAGTTGAAAACCAGTTTTCTTTTTCCCAAGTGAATGTTAGCAGATTCTCACCGTGCAAGCATGCAGCGCACTTACATCCAGAGGAGCCAATCTCATTAAACACACAGACGTTTTCTCCCTGTGGTTTTTGCAGAACGCACCCCTCGGATGAACAATGCTCAGCTGGCAGCTGGAGGCACCCTGCTTTCCAGTAAACACAACAACACCAAATCCCAGCCTTCCTTCCACCACTCCCTACACAACCTGGCTCAACTGCCACCTTCCTACGAGAGTGCCACAAAGCCCGAGCTCAACAGATACTCCTCTCTCAAACGCCTAGGTCAGTATTGTGATCTTCCTCAAATTAAACACCTTCTCACTCCCCTTACAGTGTTGTTTCTGTAGATGCTTCATAACCACTTCAGCAGGGAGAAACTATCGAGACAGAATCCATTACTATGGGGCTTTATTTAAGCAGTTGAGATTTAGTGCCAGGCAAAAAAAATATTTGCACCCCTTGATCTCTTCCATACATGGCCCCGTTACAACTGGTGCGTATTTTTAATGATCTTTGGGGGGATTTGCAATACAGTAAAACATATCGTACATAACTGTGAAGTATAAGTAAAATGCTTTGAATGAAAATTACAGAAATGTAGAGTTGATTTCATTGTTTGTAGTAACAACTACACAATTATAGTTGTAACTCCTATGTGGAATGTCTTTACCAGCTTTGCACATCTAGAGATTGAAATATTTGCCCTTGTATTCAGAATAGCTGAAGCTCAGTCGCACAGTATGGAGAGACAAAAAATGACAGAAATTCTCAAATGGATTTAGGTCATGAATTCTACTAGGTCATCTTAGCAACATATTATGCCTCAATCTAAACTATTCCAATGCACCTCAGGTTGTATTTTTTCAGGTCAATGTCCAATCTCAGGTACTTGCAGGATTTCCTCCTGTTTGTATCTTTCCTGTTCCAATAGCATCCCGGATGGATGATGCAGTCAATGCTTTATTTCAGAGGAGAGATGTTTTGGCCTGAGATAGTTTGCAGACTTCATTTTCTATTATACACCATTTTTGAATGTAGTCCTTCCGTTTTGGTCTAATCTGATAGTAGAAGATATTTCCACATTTCCGTCTTGTCACAGACTGCAAAGAGGACTTCTCGTGGCCTTGTTTTAACAATGGCTTTCTTCTTTCCACCGTATCAGCAGCCAGATTTATGGAGCACACAGCTGATTCCTGTCCTGGCCTAACAGTTTTGCATAGACTATGATCTGTCCAGAACAGACTTTGTTCTTGCTACTTCAGTTAATCAATCTGCTTACTCCTCACCCACGTTGCCTACTGATGGTGGTCAGAGGGCCCATTGGCACCTGTGTATGGCAGCCTAGCTTTTGCCAGTGAGCCCCAGGGTAGCTGTGGCCATAGTGTAGCAAGCCACCATCAATGTGTGCAGGAATGGGGGATTGTAGTGTAATCTCTACACTCTTCGCTTTAGGTGGAAAGGAGTCATTTGACATGTTAGAAGTGGTGCTTTGCAAAGCTTGGGATATTTTTTTAATGAATTAAACCCTGCCTTAAACATATGAACAATCTTTCTGGTGTGGCCACTGATCTTCAGCTGTATATGTGATATGGGCTTTACTGAATTTGCAGTTGCTCAAAGAGAAACTGGAAAATTGGCACAAGTGAAGAAACAGGAAAAAAAAAATAACGCCAATAAACTACAATTTTACTGATCCATTAGTTCTGCAAAACAGTTTTCTATAACTTTTATAAATGCACTGAGAAGGGGAGTAGGCGTCTACTTGTGTTGAGTAGGCATCCCCTGCTTGTTGTTCATAATATACCCATTAGCTAATACGCTTCATACAGGACAGCACTGCATTTTATCACTATCAAGGATTGAATTCCCTTCTTTTAATTGTTTGGTGGGGTACTGTAGCAAGAAGAGGGGTGGAAATGGTCTTTATGAAAGTGTTTGCTCAATGATGGTCTTTAAAAAGCCTTTGAGTGCTTTACAGAAATGTTTTCATTGCAAAGTTTGACTCTTTACTAATCACTGTTTATAGTGATGAACTGGATTTTATTTAGGAGTTTGATTTAGAAAACATAAATACTCTGAACACTGTAGTTATAACATGACAAAAAGAAAAAAATCTCAGAAGGTTTGAATAATTTACAAAGCAATGTAAATAATTACATAACATACTTTTTGGCTTTCAGAGAAAGGACTTGATGAGTACTCATCTGGTTACTGCACGACCAAACGCAGACCCCATACAGCTCAGCCAGCCCTCCAGTCCTCTCAGCACCACCTCCACTGGGGTGGAGACTACACTCTGAGCGGTAGAGGAACCCTTCCTAGGCACGCAGTTCGTCCCTGGATCCCACCACCCCCCTCTGGCATGCCTGCCTCTCCCACTCCCAATCCTTACCCTCTGGATCCTCCTGAGCCCCAGTACAATCCCAACTACGACACTTTGTCCAAGCCTCCAAGGAAAGTAAAGTCTACCGACCAGCTGCTGAACATGGGCGATGTACCAGGCAACACTGGGACCCTGTCTCGACTGGCTAAGAACCAGCAACACCAGTACCACAAAGCCATGGCTGCCTCCAACAAGAATTCCAACATGCAAACCCTGACCAGGAAGACACAGGACAGACAGGAAAGACAAGAGAGACAGGAGCGACAGGATAGGATGCTCATGTCCCCTGACCACTTGGAGGACAGAATGGGAGTCGGCGGGATGGGAGTCGTCGATCCCTACGCTCATACAGGAACTGGCATTGTCCCCACACTGCCGCGCCAGCAGAAGGCTCAGTCCCAGCAGAACGTGTGCGCTACGCCTTCCCTTGACCGGCACCACATGATCAAGATGAACTCCCACCCCACGTCTGGGAGGGAGCAGGAGAGGAGCACGGGCATGACGAGTCACGTGAGCAGCGGCGTGGGCTGGTCAGGAGAGATGCCCGGAGCCGGAGCTGGGGTAGTCATGGGAACAGGAACGCTGGGGGGCCACAGCGCCAGGAGGATGGCTTTTGCAGCAAAAAGGCAGAACACCATTGAGCAGCTACACTTCATACCAGGAGGGGGTGGTGGGGGGTCTGCAGGAAGCTCAGGAGGCAGCCAGGGAATCAGGACGGGGAGTAAGAATGAAGTGACAGTGTAAGGTCTGTACCTAGAGTAAGGAAAAAAGCCCTTAGACAAAAGGGAATAGATCACCCTTCTGCATTTAACTATTAGATACAAGTACAACAAATAAAACTAGAAGTATACAGTAGTAACAGTAACATGTGTTTAGGCTATTCAAATTAGTTTTATCTTGTAATCAAATTAGATTAAATATGACTACTTATAAAGCTAAAAGTCTAGGTGGAGACACCTTTGTGATAGCCTACATCAGCCATATTTTGTAACCGATTTTTGCCATATCGACATATACAGCTGTGCCATTACACGTAGAAGGACTGACTGGACTGGTGAAACAGAACCAATAGAGGAGTTGTTCATGATTTTGTTTTTATATATATATATA